GGACATTATCGTTGGTGTCGCCAACTTCCACCATAACTGTACAATGGCCAGAAAGTGGGGGCTGCCCCTTATCAATGCCCTCTACAAGAATTTCATAGGATTTGCTTTCTTCAAAATCGATATATCCCTTTACCATAATTTCTCCAGTAATTGGATCTATGTAGAACTTGGATTTCACATTTGGTAAAATATCAGTTGAGAATGAATATGTAATATTCCCATTCAAGCCTTCGTCTAAATCTGAGGCGTTAAGTTTAATTACCAACGTTCCATTAGGAACATTTTCCAGTAATTTTACTTCATAGAGTGTTCTGTCGAAAGCTGGGGCGTTGTCGTTGGCGTCCAGCACTTTGACGAGTAACTGAACGGTGCCAGTTAGCTCAGGTTTGCCGCCATCAGAGGCGGTAAGCACTAAAACAATCTCCGGGGCTTCTTCTCTGTCTAAAGGTTTCCTTAATACTAACCCAAGACGTTTTACTCGCTCTTCATAGGGTGGTTTTTCCAGCGAGAAATACTCACTGGGGCTCAGTGTGTAAGTCAGCAGAGCGTTGGCCCCAATGTCTGCATCGGAGGCGCCCTCTAGTGGAAACCGAGAGTCAAGCGGCCTGGATTCAGCCATAAACAGATTCTTTTGTGTTCCTGGGAACACAGGAGGATTGTCGTTTATGTCCTTCACCTCCACCTCCACATGGAACACCTGCAGCGGCCGGTCCACGATCACCTCCAGGTGGATGCTGCACTCCGCGCTCCGCCCACACAGCTCCTCCCGGTCGATCCGAGAATTCACAAACAAAATGCCATTCTGCAGATTTACCTCCAGAAGGTCCCCGCGGCCTTTGGACGCCACCCGGAACAGGCGCGGCACCAGCTCCGCCAGCTCCAGCCCCAGGTCCTGGGCGATGCGGCCCACGAAGGTGCCATGTTTGGCCTCCTCCGGGACGGAGTAGCGGACCTGGCCGCTCCCGGCCTTCCAGGTTGCAAGGAACAGAAGTGAGAGCAGCAAACGCCGGTATTCCTGGCCGATTCCCCAGGAAAACTCCATGTCAAGCCCGCAGTGCTTTGTTCTCATGAAGGGGGTCTTGTTTCAAAATGAAGAGATATCTCCTGACCGTTCAGTCCAGTCCCACTGCATCCTCCATTTTTCAGCATCTGGATGGTGGATGCAGCTTCTTTACAGTAAGAATAGGAGGGATTTTTTTTCTTTCTTTCTCGCTCTGTCGGATCAATTTTATGGTACAGAGCGACATCATGTGGCTCCAAATCGTAAGTAACACATTCTGGAAATGCATACTCTAAGTCTTAATTATTCTTTCATCCATTCCGCCTTTGGAGAATAGAATCTCATTTTGTACTACTGGGGTACACATTTTGCACCACTGATTTATTGTGATCCTTAGTTTCACCACAGGAGCAGCTTTCACTTCAGTGGAAATACTTTTTTCATAGAAGTTTTAAGTATTTACAGAGACCGAACTGTAGTTAACATAGCACTTTGCAAATATACAATTGATAAAGTGTTGGTTAGGAAATTCGTGACAGGTTTTGTGTGTGTGTGTGTTCCTGAGAGTGATGAAAGGTAGTTATTAATGATGACATACTCTTCATCATTGGATTTTACATTCCTGGTGTTGAAGATTTCAGAGAATTAAGCTCTAGGAAAACTCTGATCTCCAAAATAAGTCATTGAAAGAGAATTTCAAAAATGTTTGAAAAAGGAAGCAAAGATCATCAGCACTTAATTGAAAGTCTTCCTTGCTGTGGACAAGGAAGCTTTAACAAGGAAGTAGGATGTTTCGGTATATAATTTGTGTTGGGAAGTATTCCAGATAATTTTATTCAGTGGAACCTATTCACCTCTCATGAGCAAGATGGGTATTCTCATTTTGTCTCTTACAGTTTATAAACGCTTGCTTGTTCTCCAGGATCTAATACGCCTCAAATTGTATTCTCTCCTACAGCACTCATATATTTTAGTCAAAGTGGACAATTTCCTGCTTCCAATAACATTTTTCATGAAACAGATATACTCATTTCATTCCCTGCCTAAGTAATATCCATCATTTCCAAACCCTTCTCAAAGCAGTTTCCCCCATTATATAAAAAGTTAAAACTTCCTTGACCGACAAAGACTTTCATGATTAAGCCAACTGGGCAGGCATCTTTATTTTCTTTTATACTATAGCATCTAGATCAAATCACTTGGGACATTTATTACATTAATTTCTCTTTCGTAGGTATTTGGGTATGTGTGTCTAATCCTCCATTTTTGAAATATAAACTTTTAAAGAGAATATTTGTGTTATAATTGTTTAATAGCTCAGAATACTTACTGAGTATTTGCTGAACATTTACCCTATAGAATGGTTTGGTTTTCTTAAATTGCTTAATAAAGTGCATTAAATTAAGGTGGTCATGCAGCTAGTTAAGAAATATGATATCTCAGCAACCTCTATAATTTTCCAGAGACACAAAAATATTTTCCTTAGACATTGCTCTACTTAAGGTATATTTCAATTTCCATATTGAAAACCTGGATTTTAGCTTAGTTTTCATTCCAGTTCTTGGCAATCATGATCTTTGAGACATTAATAGTTCTAATGGTCAATAAAGAATTCCCAAATAATAGAGCATAATATATGTTCCTGACACACACAAAACAATATAGAAGGACATGATGGTAGCTATTTTAAAACTTCCTTTGACTTTTATGTTCATAAACCTCTTACTCCATAGTTGTCTAAGACAAAAAAAATCAATCTAGTGAAAATAGCTCTAGGCTCCCATTCTACTAAAAGCCACACTGCCCCCCCCATTTTTTCTGAATTAAAACATAAATCAAAGTAGTTTCACTGTTCCAGTACCCAAACTGCAGATTTGTGCAAAAGGATTAGTATCAAACACACTGAAAGGAAGTGAAAAGGACTCCCTGTCCATTTACTTTATTTTGCAAGTAATTAAATGCATAGATGAGGTATGCAAAAGAATAGAAAGGACATTTATTTGGGAACTATTCACTATTTACCGGGTATAGAGACAACACATCTCTAATGGGAAAAACTCAAAAGTCTTTAAAATGTCTTATTAGCTGAGAATCATGTTAGTCAAGAAGTTGAAGAGGAGGACTTCCCTGGTGGCACAGTGGTTAAGAATCCGCCTGCCAATTCAGGGACACGGGTTTGGGCCCTGGTCCGGGGAGCAACTAAGCCTGTGCACCACAACTACTGAGGCTGCACTCTAGAGCCTGTGAGCCACAACTACGAAGCCCACGTGCCACAACTACTGAAGCCCTCATGTCTAGAGCACAGCGTGCTCTGCAACAAGAGAAGCCACCATAATGAGAAGCCTGCACACCGTAACAAAGAGTAGCCCCCACTCGCCACAACTAGAGAAAGCCCGTGCGCAGCAACAAAGGTCCAACGCAGCCAAAAATAAATAAATAAATTAATTTATTTTAAAAATAAAACTATATGCCCATTTGTACTAAAAAAAAAAATTGAAGAGGGTAGCTGGATTTGAAGACTGAAGTCCCACATCCTGGAAGACAAGAACTCTGGATGGCCCTATTATTCACAATAGGATGAAAATGATACCTAATAAAATAAATAGTGAACTGAGGTTGGACATGCTGTGGCTCATACTTGATGAACAGGAGGCCACAAAGGACAGTGCCAGAAAGAGGAAATGGAAGTGGAAAAAAGGAAGATTATGTATTTTATATGTTGGCCTATCCCACAGTGTCATTGAGTATTAACCAGGTTTCACCAAGGAAACTTGAACAAGGAAGTAGGAAGTTGTAGTACATAACTTGTGTGGAAAAGTATTCCACACAATTAGAATGGAATACACCGGAGCAAGGTTGGTATCTTCATTTTTGTCTCTAATGGTTTAGAATACTTGCCCATTCTCCAGTCACTAACATACCTAAGCTGTGGTTTCCAGTGGCAAAGAAACTTCAATGGGAGACCAACTATTTACTAGGGTAACTGACCAAATACCAAATAGGGGAATGAATGGAAAATAATTTCACTTCCAGTTATTTGGAACTTTGTACTTGCTACATTACACACATTAATAGGTTGGTATTCAGAGAAGGGTCACCAGTAATAACATTGACTTATTGAACTTTTTGGACATTAGCATCATTAATACTGCATGTAAAAGAGGTTAATAATAAATAAGTTTTGCTAAATGAATAGTTTTAAAATGAGATATACAGTATTTTTCTCTACACTGTTCAGATAGAAAATAATATTTCTTAACAAGATTAATAATATTCTTTCAAAAGCAATATTTTCTAAATGATGATATACTAAAGAGAGTATTAAAATTTCACTTCCTATTGATTTCTTAATGCTTACTAATAAAAAGTACTGAGAAACAGACGATAGAAAATGATACAATTCTAAAAGCAACAAATTTATTATTCTAGCTTTTTTTTTTACCCAGTTGGAAAACTAGCAACAATACACAGTATTGCCAAATGTGAGCACAAAAATTAAAACAATCATGTTCAAGTAGAAAGAAGGAACTGAGAATACAGATAAATGGATACGTGAGTAAAAGAGGCTCTATAGGAGACAACAGGCTTAATAAACTAATGTTTGAAACTGAATATGTAAAAGCATAATAAAAAGGAAGTGTGTCAGTGACATTTGGACTAACATCCAGTAGGAATTTCCAATAAAAAGTGTCATAAGTTACTGAAGCATTGTGCAGGTATTAGCATACCACAGTTTAAGTCAAATATTCTAATCAATTCAATTTACCCTGGAAAATATATTTAGTTTCTATCCAGATTTGCAGCAATAAAATAATTCTACAGCGACTTTTAAAAACCTGCAAGTATGGGTCTTACCATTTATTGCTGATTCGGTTCAAAGCCATTAGTCACAAGAAATTCAAACACTTTAACCACAAAACCAATACCTTGAAAACTCTAGTGACAACAAGAAGACTAATTAACTATTAAAATGTTTCCGAAGGAGTAGTAACGTTGAGAATTAAAAACAAAGACATTTTTGAAAGGATTTTTAAAAGTTACTCACTTTAGCAGGAAGATCAACCTTCACATCCGTCTGCTCTTCTCTATCCCCACTAATGGGGCCCGGTGGAAGACCGGGGCTGAAGGCCATGAGGTCTGCCTTGGGCGGCCCCTCCCCAGAGCACACCCGCTGCCGCCTCTGCTGCGAGTAAGACCAGCTCCCCACCGCGCTGGAGCACACCAGCGTGGGCTTCCCGGGCCCGCACGCGCCCTCGCTGGGCGGCGCCGAGCACCGCAGCGCCGTGTACAGCAGCAGCGTGAGCACCAACAGGCTGGACACCGCGCAGATGGCGATGATCAGGTACACGTTCACATCCACCAGAGCGGCCTCCGCGCCAGCGGCGCCCGTCGACGCCCGCGAAGAGGCCTTGGGCGCCTGGCCGCTGTCCTCCAGCGACAGCAGCACGGTGGCCGTGGCCGTCAGCGCCGGCTCGCCGTGGTCCTTCACCAGCACCAGCAGGCGCTGGCGCGGCGCGTCCGCCTCGTCCAGGTCGCGCGTCGTGCTGATCTCGCCCGTGTACAGCCCCACGCGGAACGGGCTGCGCGCGCCACCCACCGCCGGCTGCAGCTCGTACGACAGCCACGCGTTGTAGCCCGAGTCCGCGTCCACCGCGCGCACCTTCGCCACCACGTGGCCCGCGCCCACCGACCGAGCCACCAGCTGGCTCAGCGCGCCCGCCCCGCCGCCCGGCCCGGGCAGCAGCAGCGCGGGCGCGTTGTCGTTCTCGTCCAGCACGAACACCTGCAGCGTCACGTTGCTGCCCAGAGGCGGCACACCCGCGTCGCGCGCGCTCACCTGGAACTGCAGCAGCTCCAGCTCCTCGTGGTCCAGCGGCTGCAGCGCGTACACCTTGCCGCTCTCCGCGTGCACCGACACGTAGCTCGACAGCGCTCGCTCGCCCACCCGCCGCTCCACCAGCGAGTAGGACACCAGCGCGTTCTCCCGAGCGTCCGCGTCCCAAGCCGACACCGTGAAGATGTGGCAGCCGGGCGGGTTGTTCTCCTTCACCAACACCGTGTACTCGGGCTGCGCGAACGCGGGCGCGTTGTCGTTCACGTCGGCCACCTCCACGGACACGCTGGCCGTTGTCGACAGGGAAGGCGAGCCCCCGTCCCTCGCGGTCACCACCACCTCATAGTTCGCCATACTCTCGCGATCCAAGGCGCTGTCCAGCACCAGCGAATAGTAATTCTTGAAGGTGGACACCAGCTTGAAGGGTACATTATGAGTCAGGGTGCAGGTCACCTGCCCGTTGGCACCGGAATCGCCGTCGGAAACGCTGATCAGAGCGATTACCGTTCCTAGTTGAGCATCTTCTAATACAGGTAAAGAGTGTGATTTGACAACCAACTTAGGTACATTATCGTTGGTGTCCAAAATTTCCACTACAACCGTGCAGTGATCTGCCATTGGGGGATTTCCTTTATCTGTTGCTTCTACCTGGATTTCATATAACTTAGTGAACTCAAAATCTGTTACCCTTTACACTGATGTATCCATTAACAGGGTCTATGTGGAATTTCGACAAAGTATCTGCTGACATGTCTATATTGAAAGAATACACAATGTCCTTATTTACCCCTTCATCCAAATCAGAGGCGTTAACAGTCACTACTAGGGTACCGTTTGGTGCATTTTCAAATAATCTGACTTCGTAGATCGTGCTCTCAAACTCTGGGGCATTGTCGTTTACATCTACAACGGTGATCTTCAGTTGAATAGTACCAGTGAGTACTGGTTTCCCACCATCAACTGCTGTTATAAGTAAGTGATGCTCAGGAGTGTCCTCTCGATCTAAAAGTTTTTTCAGCACAAGTCCAAGGGATTTAATTTCCACATAATTTCTTTTAACATCCAAGGTAAAATATTCATTGGAGTTAAGAGTGTAGGTCAATAGCGAATTAGCTCCGATATCTGCGTCTGATGCGCCCTCTAGCGGAATCCGAGAACCAGGCGGCCGGGATTCATAAATAAATAAATTTTTTACTGCCGTTGGAAAAACCGGCTGGTTGTCGTTAATGTCCTTCACCTCCACCTCCACATGGAACACCTGCAGCGGCCGGTCCACGATCACCTCCAGGTGGATGCTGCACTCCGCGCTCCGCCCGCACAGCTCCTCCCGGTCGATCCGAGAATTCACAAACAAAATGCCATTCTGCAGATTTACCTCCAGAAGGTCCCCGCGGCCTTTGGACGCCACCCGGAACAGGCGCGGCACCAGCTCCGCCAGCTCCAGCCCCAGGTCCTGGGCGATGCGGCCCACGAAGGTGCCGTGTTTAGCCTCCTCGGAGACAGAGTAATGGACCTGACCGCTCCCTGCCTCCCAGAATAGGAGGTGCAAAACTGAAAGCAGTAGTCGCCAGACTCCCTGACCTTCTCTCCAGAAAAATACCATTGCAAGGGTTTTTCCAAATATCGGGTCGCTTTTGCATCGATCAAAAAATTTTAAATATTTCTAGTTCCTTATTTTTCATTTCTTAATCATTCCGTGCACGTATTTCAGAGATGGTGAGGGAAACCAGCATCTTAGTACGTAATAAATGCTGTATATCTTTTGTTGTGAAATACCTTGCGGTAGACAGCGACATCATGTGGCTAAATGTGTAAGTATTAAATAAATGTATTTACCTTTTTTTCCTTCCATTGAACTTTCCCCCATTTTTTTCCCTGTAATTTCCTTCGAGCACTCATCAAAGTCTTCATATTTTATCAAAATATATCCTTAGAACTTTTATGCTAATTCATGACTTTAAATTAGGCCAATCCATGGCATATAGTTAAATATAGTAAAATAGTGATTACTATTATAACAGTAGTGGACATCTTTTGGAAATATTTCCGATGTGACAAGTACTGTTTCATTTATTTTAATAGGGTTATCCCATTAAATTCTCACAACAACCCTCTGAGGTAGGTATTAATATGATTCACTTTTTACAAACAGTGAAGTGGAAATGCATACAGGTTAAGTAACTTAAAAATAATATTAACTGGTGGTGTTGAGTAGGATCTCAATATGATTCAAGACTCATGACTTTAACCACTTGGCCACAAAGTCTACATTTTACAGAAAAATCGGGTCTTTTATATTTGTAACCATCAAAACAACAGACATTGAAAATTTTACCTCTACATTACTATGGCAATTGTTAATCTATAAAATATGTTCACTAATGTTTCTTACTTTGTAGAATGTCTACGAAGCACTCCTGTGTCCTTTATCCAACAACTGCATCTTTGTTAGCTGTCTCAACTGTTTATATAAAGATGCCACAAGTCAGCCTTTTACAGTGCAGTTATTCTGTAAATTTGGTTTTTGTTGCATGAAAACACTGTGTGTTTGGATATTTGTTATAGTCACATCATACCAAGGAAAAGTATATTAGTTTTTTAAATTTACACATCACTTGTACATTTCAATTTACCTGTATATCTTAACATGTTCACAATATGAAATGATTCTGTTTTTAATAATCTCCACTCTGGATGAATTTCTGGATTCCAATTTGTTAAAAAGCTGTTACTTGTAATAATTGGTGTTTAACCAATTATTAAAGAGAGAAAAGTAACGGGCTTCCCTGGTGGCGCAGTGCTTGAGAGTCCGCCTGCCGATGCAGGAGACGCGGGTTCGTGGTATAAGTTTATTAAAATCTCCTCATTTTATTATCAGCCATCAAAAGCTGTGGTGTTTTTTTAATAGACATTTTCTTGTTCATATGTGTATCTCTCTACTCAGTTGACACCCAAGATGAAAGTCACTAAGTAATGCCAAAAGTTTGTCTGCATATTGTTTTATACCTTTATATTAATTTAGTGGATCCCTACTATTTTTCAGCCAGGTTTCATATTCCTCAAAGTTATATTTTAAGTTTGCATGGTTGTGTGACTACAGAACCCAAAGAATGTCAATATCAAGTACTTTGTGTTGACAGCTTTTGATCAAACTTTTTGTAGGACCTGCATTTTCAAATCTTCCTATATCTGCTACATAATTATGTTCACAAGACATTTGATCATATAGGCATTTTATTTACATACATAAATCAATAGTGAAAATACTTAGAAGACCACGTTTAAATTCCACAGTGAGTACAAACTTAAAGGGTTAAAAACTGGTATGAGCTTCAGTTTGAAGTAATTAACTTAGTAATTGTCAGGGTTGAATAAGTAGAGCATGAGAAAGAATATTCATTATGTGCATAAAGGAAAGCTCTGGATTCCCAATTAACATAACAGCATCAGCGTAAAATGAGCATTAATATTCCACAGGATAATTGGCAACCTTTGTGGTATTATTTTTTTGTTTGTTTGCTTTTTCCCCACTTTAGCTGTTCTCAAGAAGGTGCCATTATTCCTGGCTGACTGAGAGGGATCAGAGTTTATGTTATGTTCTATTCTTATTCCTACTGATAGTTACAGGCTTTTGTTACATACTTAATATAAACCATGCTGAAAACCTTCTATGGATTATCTTGTTTAATCTTTAGTATAGCCCTATGACATAGTGTTTTTATATTCATTTTGCAAACAGGATATTATATGGCTTTTGTAAGGTCATTGGACAAGTGGCTGTGTTTCCATGTTTTATTTCTATGTTATATTCTATGTAACTCATATTTTGAATAACATTTTACCATTTACCAAACACTTTTGTGTTTATTGTCTCAACATCAACAAAACAGCCCTAAGTAATAGTTATTACCTGGATTTCACATGAGGGAACAAAGCCTCAGAAAAATTAAGTTGCCACAATGACAAAATTTGCAAGTAATTCACTTCCCAAATAAACACACCTCTCTTTCTATTATTTAATGCCTCAAATATTAGCTGTTTTTATTTAAAGATACACAAAATAAAGCAAATTTTAAATAGCTTAGTTGTTGGTGGTAGCCCCCACAATTTTCTAACTTTGAACTGATTTTATGTAGATAAAATTGAGGTTCAAAATAAAAGTTTGTATTCCAGTTTATTTATAAAAATTAAGAAATCTAACCACATAGCAGCAACCAGATGAGACTGAAGAGGGCTGCCTCCTCAGAAGGGGCATGAGCTGTTGAGTTCACAGTCCCCCACACTTCATTTGTTTTACACTATGCTACTGCACTTATTAACTTGCCTGCATCTGGGTTTATTTGAACCTTATATAGTTGAATCTTTGTGTCAGAAGAAACTCTCTGCACTAGATTGCACACTGTTTTTTAATCTGGAACGTGAATCTCTGTATCCTTCCATTTATGAAAGTCCTACTAAACTTTTAAGACACAAGTCAATTCCTTCTCCATGAAGATATCTTCCCAGATATCTTGGCTCTCTCCTAATCTGTCAAAGCAAAAATTACACTGGACAGTGTTAAAACAGGGAAGGGAGACTTTGTTCAAGGCAACTGCAGTGGGATAAAGAGATAAAAGCACAGTCTGAGCTCAACTCCACTAGACAAACAACAGAGGTTAAGCTAGTGTAAAAGTACTGGAGAATGATAAGAGTTAGATCAGTGGGACCTGTGGATCTCATTGAGTTAGTTCTGGTTTGCAGATGCTTTTCTCTGTGATTAGGCTATCTGTGTTTGTTCACAGCACTGGCCCATTGAAGGCCCTTACCCTTTCACAGAGACTGGGAGATAAGGGGTCTATTTTCCTTGATGATTATAGTTCAAAGGGATGGTTCCTACATACTAGAGAAAGATATTTTTGGCTTGTAGATCAGGCAAGAGGCTTTTAAAGAGGTTTATATCTAAAGGGGTAGAGAAAGAATTTACAGTTATACATTTTCTAAATTAAGTACTCTAAGAAAAGGGGAATCAGGTGTGTAGATTTAGGGAGAAGCCTGTCTGAAGATTAGTGAAGCCAAAGAGAACATTAAGGCCATCTTGGTCATTTGCAGTACGCGGGTCTCTCATTGTTGTGGCCTCTCCCGTTGCGGAGCACGCGCTCCGGACGCGCAGGCTCAGCGGCCATGGTTCACGGGCCCAACCGCTCCGCGGCATGTGGGATCTTCCCGGACCGGGGCACGAACCCGTGTCCCCTGCATCGGCAGGCGGACTCTCAACTACTGCGGCACCAGGGAAGCCCGATAAATGAATTCTTGATCAAAAGAATAATTTAGGAAATTCCCAACATATTCTGACAGAATGGATGGTGTAAATTGAAAATATGTATTCCATAATCATCCTCTTTAAATGTTTTCCAATTGTGATTTTTTAATTTGAGAAAAAATATTTACACGTAATGTTAAGTTTTCAAATTTTGCTGAAGCGTTTTCTCAATACTTTAATCCTATTTTTCATGGCAAGATTTAATTATGGAAAATCCAAAATGTAAAAGTAAGAAAATCATTTAAGTTCTTCTCAATGCAAGAAATTGATTTCTAATTCACACCATATATTGCACAAGATAATGATACAAAATGAAAGCAGAGCTATGAATCAAAATAATTAATAGAATGTGTATGGCTGATTCATTTTGTTGTGCAGTGGAGGCTAACACAACGTTGTAAAACAACCGTACTCCAATAATAATTAATTTTAAAAATTAATAGAATCATAGAGAACAAAGAAAATAGAACAATTTTAGAGCCGACAGAAAAAAAAAAGACTCACCTTTCCGAACTGTTCTGATTCTGAGAGTTGTTGCCTTTCTTCTGCTGAGTCTGGACCTTGAGGTAGGCTGGGGCTGAAGGCCATGAGATCTGCCTTGGGCGGCCCCTCCTCAGAGCACACCCTTTGCCGCCTCTGCTGCGAGTAAGACCAGCTCCCCACCGCGCTGGAGCACACCAGCGTGGGCTTCCCGGGCCCGCACGCGCCCTCGCTGGGCGGCGCCGAGCACCGCAGCGCTGTGTACAGCAGCAGCGTGAGCACCAACAGGCTGGACACCGCGCAGATGGCGATGATCAGGTACACGTTCACATCCACTAACGCCGTCTCCGCTCCAGCGGCGCCGGTCGACGCCCGCGAAGAGGCCTTGAGCGCCTGGCCGCTGTCCTCCAGCGACAGCAGCACGGTGGCCGTGGCCGTCAGCGCCGGCTCGCCGTGGTCCTTCACCAGCACCAGCAGGCGCTGGCGCGGCGCGTCCGCCTCGTCCAGGTCGCGCGTCGTGCTGATCTCGCCCGTGTACAGCCCCACGCGGAACGGGCTGCGCGCGCCACCCACCGCCGGCTGCAGCTCGTACGACAGCCACGCGTTGTAGCCCGAGTCCGCGTCCACCGCGCGCACCTTCGCCACCACGTGGCCCGCGCCCACCGACCGAGCCACCAGCTGGCTCAGCGCGCCCGCCCCGCCGCCCGGCCCGGGCAGCAGCAGCGCGGGCGCGTTGTCGTTCTCGTCCAGCACGAACACCTGCAGCGTCACGTTGCTGCCCAGAGGCGGCACACCCGCGTCGCGCGCGCTCACCTGGAACTGCA